TAATTTCTTCTTGTCTTTAGTTGATTGATATATATACGTCTTTTGTATATATAGTCTTGGGCCAAATGCTCGCCACAATAATATATGTCTATATTATTGAAAAGTAGTAATACGCAATCTGACTTACGGTTTCTTCAGGTTTATTCGTAGTAACGGATACATAATAAAACAACAAAGGATGTTACAGTATAATGGATATTCAACAGCAGATGGTAATTGCTGGACTTCTTTACATCCTTACATCTTTACATCGAGAGAGAGAACCTCCTGTCTCTTTGTTCAGTTACTGTATAGATGTGCCCATAATGACGTCAGAGCATAACTCTAGCCATATAAGGACAAGACCCCCAAATCCACTTTCCAGAGCTCTCGGACAAAGAAAGCCTTGTGACTTATACCATCTGTTACTTATGTCAATCCACACATCCATATATATAATCAATAGAAACATAGAATATGCAATATTCTACAAACACCCAGTAGCTTATCTAAGCCGAAAACTTTTACCCAGAGAAGTAAGCTACGCCGCCATTGAAAATTAGTGCCTGGCTGTGGTGTGGGCCCTCAAAAAACTGCAACCCTATTTATATGGGCAACCATTTGCATTACTCAGAGATCACAACCCGTTGGTGTGGCTGAACAGGGTGTCAGGAGACAATGCCAGGCTGCTGCGCTGGAGTTTGGCGCTGCAGCCTTTTGACTTTACTATTCATTACAGCCCAGGGAAGCAAAATGGCAATGCCAACGGGTTATCCTGACAAACCGACCTTAAACAGTGATCTGTGAGTGCTCCTCCGGACATCCCCAAGCCGATCCGTTGGGATCAGACTGTGTATGCCGGCTTGGTTCTGGGGGAGCATTGTGGCAAAACTTGCCACTTATGACTGTATCTGCATAAATGTGTTTCTATAAATTTAAGGTTGTTAGAACCAAGTGTTGTTAGAACCAGGTATATGTATTTCATGCGAACAAGAGCATTCGTATGCTGGCGGCATGAAAACCACCAGCATTCATACAGTAGTTTCACGAACAGTGAATTTCAACACTGTTCGTGAAACGAATAAACTACCGAATGGGCGACCACACACAGAAGGTCGTATGGCGCCCATTAACTTATTGCAACATTGTTGCAATCGGTAGTTAAAGGCTTCCCTAGGTGGCTGTCGTTCGACTACTGACCACGCGGTGGTTGGCCATCTTGGATCCTTTGTTAGCCCAGCGGTATTTGGTCGTTGAGCGCCTGGAACTAAAACCGGCTACTCGACGGCACGAATACCGCTGGGGCCGTTCGGGAGCCCCGGTCATTCGGCAAGTTATTCCCCTACAGTCAATCGGTGTTTTAAATGCAACTAGGAAATAATGTGTATTTCGTGCAGCGTTCAGTTATTTATGCTGG